AGGGCAGGTGATGTGGGGCCTACACAGGTAGAAAAGAACCATCTAGGATGAGTGGAAGGGAACTGAGGACATGTAGGGTCAATGAATTAGAGGTCTTGGTCATATAAAGAATTGTTGGAGCCAGGATATCAGAAGGAGGTAACTAAAAAGATAGCATGAGAATAAAGATGGTGAGAAAAGAAATCTATATTTAAAAACAATCTTTTATTTGTCCATATACATTTTAACATATATTCTATTGATACACATTATATTTCTTTTCAGTGATAATTAAATAATTTACTATATAATGTAAATTAAAAAATATAATTCTTGAATTCTCAGCATTTCCATTACACATAATATGTAAGGTGAACCAGAATAATCAAACATCATTGGTGTTAATCTTAATAAGTAAACAGCCAACATTTCTACTTAAAGTATGAATTTAGAGATTTAAGGAGATAAATTCCACTGTTAGATTATTGTATCTTCAGAATTAAAGAGGGTGTGTACATAAACGAAATCAATTTTGATGTTTAAATCAGCAAGGTGTGAGTGTGTATTGAAAACATCAACATGTAAAATAGAAACCTAGTTAATGATCACATTTTCCTAAGAATAAATTTGTGTGTATGTGTCTTAATCATGTGAATATCATAAACAATAGACATTAGCACAAACATAAATTGGTTGCCTATTTTGGCCATTGAGACAATGTTTTTAACTGTTCAGAAGAGGATTTCTTAATTTTTTCAAGATACAGATCTTTATTGTTGATTTTTCTATTGATTTTGAATAATATTTATCTATAACACTCATTTTTAGTAGTGTTCATACTTTTTATTAGTCAAAGATCTATGTTAGAATTTATAAGCTACATTAAATAAAAATTTTTGTCACCGAATCAAAATAATTTCAGCCCCAATGAAATTTTACTTTTTAGGGCAGCCTTTTGGTGTCCTTGTTTTAGTAAAATATGAATCCAACAAAGCTTTTTGAAAAGCTGAAAGCAGCTCACAAACTCTTCTTACTCAACTTTCTTCATGGACCTTATTTAGAGAATCTCTCTATTAAGGAACAACATGTCTATTTTTCCATTCTTCTTTTAAAATTCCATCTAAATTTTTTCTTATGGTCCCTCATTTATCTGTTTCTTCTTTCTCTCCTTCTTCTAACTCAGCTTCTCACCCCATGTCCTTTTTCCTCATTGTGTTCTAGGAAAAATTTTCTCCTTTTCTATTTCTTCTATGCTTGGATTCACATCTCCGCCTATTATGCTTTGTTTTTCATAGAGAATTTGTTCCTATTGAGTTCACTGGTTCTTTTACAGAGAATTGTGAATGGAATAAGTAAAATATTAACAATCTGGCTATGTAGCAATCCACAAACATAAGATATGTGAACATCTCACAAACACAAAATGTAATTTCCATGGTTGATGTCAATAAAACATAGTTTCTTTGGTATAAGCTTCTTGTGTACAAAGTGTAGCATCAGTACATTCTTGACTTTTTCATGTTGCTTGGCATCTCTGTGAATTAAAGGTATTACTAATGAACGATAGGATAAATGTCATTTTAATACTTTTTCATTTTTCTGTTGCATTATGGCAAATTTTTATTCTAATTCTTTAGTTCAAGTTACATAGTCTATGATGCTTTAAGGTAAATGGAAACCTGAAACTGGAATGTGACCTGGAATATGACTCTCTTCCCAACTTTTTATAGATTCACCAAATGACTTTTGGTCACAGAACTCTAGCTTTTAACTTCGTGTACTCTTTCTGTCTGGAGTGTTCTTTCTACCATCCCTCTTCTCCATGTCAGCTTATTATGAATTTTACTCAATCTTCAAGCCACCCTCCTAACACCCTCCCCCGACTCAAACCCTGAAATGCTACCTTTCCATAATGCTCTTCCTGGTCCTCTAAAAAAATCAGATGTAATCTCTCTTTCTCTCCTCAGTATTCTTAGCACTTTGGACAACACATATAGCACTTATTGAGCTTGCTTTATCATCTAGTTGTATGTGAATTTTCTTTGCATCCCCTATAGCCTATAATCCTAATTTAGAAGGTCTAGCCCAGTGCCTTGTGCTGGCTAGAGAATGGAACTGAAAAGAATGTTCAATTTAGATCCTTAATTTTACCAGTACACAGGCAAGAGTGTTTACTTTTAAGAAATTCAGAGTTCACTGACCAGAAGAGATAACAGAGTATTACAATATAGCTGTTTGTAGAAAATACACACACACACACACACACACACACACACACACACGTATGAGTCAAGGAATTTACTATCTTTGTAGTAATAGTACGTGATCTTTCCAATAACAAGTGTGTGGAAACAGGTTTTGTAATTCAGTTAATAAAATCACATCCCAAGCTGGATGGTAGAAAGGGTTTCAAATCTGATTTGTGCCTGTCAAGCTGATCTTCATCAGCCTGAAAAGGAGAGAGGCTGAGAGAACATGGAGGGCTGATGCTTTCCATCTTATTCTCGTTAGCGTCTCTCCCTTGAGTTTTTGTCATTGCTTTTCTTCACGTGATCAGGATTTAGCTTTGACCACTCACTGATCACCTGTGATAATTTTTGTCTCGTCCATTACCTAGCTGTATGCTCACCTCAACCAGACCAGAGAATCTACAGACTTGTGCTGGATGCACTCACTACTCATTTCATTTACTTATTTTTAACCTTGAATGTTCTTGTAATGTTAGCTCCTTTCATTCCCCCCTGAAGTCTGGTTTTCTGTCAAGCACAGTCCTGCTTAATTTAGTGCCAAAGAGAGTCTGCTGGGATGTACGGTCAGGGCGTCTCCCAGATCTGAGGAAGCCTCACCTGAGAAATCTCAGATCCGCGCTACTCACAGTGCATCAGGAAGGACTGCCAGTTGGGTGGTGTTAGTGGGAGTTTTATTTGGAAATGATTCCAAAACCTGTAAGAGAGACAAAACAAAGAAATGGATTTGGTAATGAATTTTCGTGCCTGTTGTTCTGCCAGGATCTGTTTGGTAACCAGGGCTCAGCCCTCTCTAAGAGTGGTTTTAGCTGTTCCTACAGCTTAGCATTTGAAGTGTATTGAATACAGACAATTGAGTCTTATTTTTATTCTATTGTGATGCACCTTGCTTTAAGGAATACATGTGTGTGAAAAATATAGATTTTTATTCCATACACAAAAGCATTAGGACCTGGTATTGGTGACAGTGTAGGTAACTTGTCCTCTCCTATATTATTTCTGTGAAGGTGGACTGGCTTTCTGAAGAGGGGTTTGGCAGCGTGCCCCTGGGGCCTCCACACTGGATCCAGCAGCTCCACTCCTATAAATTTATCCTGAGTACACCAACTATGAGAGTGTGCAAGAGACACCTACATGTTTATTTGCCAAATCATTGTTTTCAATAGCAAAAAGTTAGAAAAGTATAAGTAGATCAAAGATTGTTTCATAAACATACAGATAGAAAAGTATGGACAGCATTATCCTATTTTTATAAAAAGTGTACAAGTATGTGCTTATAAACAGAAAAAAAAAAGTCTAACTAGACACCAATGTATAAATTGCTATTTCTGAGGGGTGGGGTGGTAGTAAGATTATTTGTGATTTAAATTTCTTCTTGTATCTAAAATTTTTTTTTCAAATTCTCGACAGTAGATATGTATTATTTTTATAACCAGAAAGATGTTGAATAAATCCATACACCCCATTTTGAGAGCAATGAAGATAAATTGGGTTGCAACTATTTCCTGAAATTCTTTAGGGGATCCTCAGATATTTATGACCTTTGTTATCTAAACACAAGATAACAAAATAGTCTTAAGCATCAATATCCTAGAAGTTTCCGAGACAGAAAATATTTTCTCAAGAAAAGTAACCTCTAGGTTTCCCACAATGTTGTCACGTTCTTTCTTTTTTTTTTTTTTTCCCAGAACAAGAATTCAGGTATATGCTCTGTGGAAAATGAACAAAAAGTGGTCTCTTTTACAGCTGTTAAAATGTTTGAGGCTGATGCGTATGTCCCAACGTGGAAGGAAACCGAAGATACATGAATGAGAAAAAAAATGCAAGCTGCAGAATGTATGTTACTTTAAAAAAAACAACAGCATCAATAACCCTCCCTCCCTTCTCCTCCCAACTATATGGGACATTTTATTGCGAACACATGTATTTAGAGAAATGTGGATCCGCCCAGACGTTGGCCTGGGGTGACCCACACAGAGCTGTTATCTCTGGTTGCCCTGGAGACTGGGTGGAGAGAGAGGAAGGACACAGGGCTTTGTGGGAAGTGCAGGGTGGGGTTGTTTTCTTTTTATTTTATATACTTTTACATTCCTTACATTTTTTTCATAATTTAAAAACATTCAAAAGGAGATAAGTTAAAAAGAAATTTTAATAAATTTCAAGCAAGCTTGCAAACTCAAGAGCAGAAGCTAGATTGTGGGTTTTTCTTATTCAAAACTAAATTCTTTCATTTTTCAGAAGATCAGTGGTAATGACAAGAGAGTTTCTCCCTCTTAGTAATTATTTTGCAAATATAAAAATGGCAAATGGGCCTTTCTGACATTTCAACTCAAATATTTCAAATATAATCTTAAAGACTTAGGCAATTTTGCAGTAAGAGACTTACATGGTTTTGAAGTATAGGCAAAACCTCAGTGGGTTACTCCCCTTAACCAACTAGCCTATCAAATTTATGCTCAGGTTTGGGCACAGGCAACAGTGAGACTTGAGAGGTGACTGTCTTTAATGGCTGCATCTTGCTACATCTTGCTTGGCAAACACATTCTTCACTCTCATAATGTCATTTTCTACATCAAAAACCACTTTCAGAAGGAATGGGAACACATTTGCATGAATATATAAATAATGACTCTTTAAAATGTTATCTTCTAACCAGCTTTGCTTTTTAACAGGCTACCAGAGGCATAAAGATCTAAAGGTGGAATCTCACATATCTATCCATCAGGATCATATGTAATGGTCCTGGGGGCATGTAGTCAGTCACTGACTCCACTTATATATCCATGGCATCCTCTGCAGTGGCCTAGGGTGTGGCGGATATTTTCAGACTTACAGATGATGATATACATCAGGATCCCGCTGAAGTCGGGTTTGGAATCCTATATACAAGTCATCCCAGAGTAGACCATTCCTCACCACATGTCTGATGACATCAACCCGGCTCTGGATCTGAAACAGACATGGAACAACTAGCAGGGGAGACCCAGGCAACACCGGCCATCGATCCCGCACGTCCCTGGGAGAAGCAGATGCCTAGGACAGCAGGGGCCTAGAGTGTCAAGGAGAGAAGTCTACTAGAGCAGGCATCACAGGCTGAGGGAGGAGGGCCTGAGTGTGGCAGAAACTGAGAGAAGGGAACCAGGAAATGGATCAGGAGCTGGGGAAGCATCGTGGCATGGATGAGTCAGACTGCTGGGTTCACACCCAGGTTAATAGCTTTGGCAACTATCCTGCCTGTTTTCTCATTTATAAAATGAAGATAATGGGCCATTCCTCATAGGATTGTTGTAAGGATTAACTGAGTCAATGTAAGTAAAATATTTAAAATGAGGCCTAGCACACAGTGAGCATTCAAAAAATGTGTGATGTCACTGTTATTCTGAAATAGAGCATTCTAGTCTTCTACCTAAGCACTCAGAGGCAAAGCAGAGCCTTCAACTTCACAGCAGACTGTGTGTTTCAGGTGAGATTCCCTTACCTAGGTGGCCAAGGCCTTTACCTGTAAAGAATCCCAACCTGAGATGCAGAAACTGTTGAATAGTCAAGGAGCACAGGGTTAGCAGACAAGCAGAGGTGCTTTCAGTCTCAACCCTGTACTTGCTAATCACGCAGCCTTAACCTTACTAAGACTCAGTCCATGACAGGACTGTTGTGAGAAAAAAACAAATAGACGTTTTATGAAAAGAGCATGAAATAGCGTGAAGGTAAATTTTCCTCAGACTGGACATGGTTTAACAATTCATCAGAACCACTGTAAAGTTTACCCAGGAGCTTTTTCAGATTCTGCATACATTTTTTCTTCCTGATAAATACGCTAATGGCAGTAGAGGCAAATTGTCATCAATGGCAGGCTAATAAATGACACAGGACGTTTAGAAGATTGGCATTTTGGATTTCTTTCTTTTTCCTTCACCGGTCCTACCAAATGATTACATCCACTGTAAACTAAGGTTACAAACCCATGTCAGAGGACCTGTTCGTTTGCTGATAGGGGTTTAGACACATGATGTACAATTTGCTCAGGCCAAGGACTGCCCAGCTGCGATGCAGTGTTGGGACCTGCCTCCTCACAGTGGAGGGAGATGGCCTTTCCTGATCTTTCAATCTGTAGAGGAGCACAAGGGAGAATTAGGGGTAGCTTTGAGAAATAGTTAGGATGTAAATGGAAAGGCCTTGGTGATTGATTATATTTGAGGATGAAGGGAAAAGGAACAGTCGATTGTTCCCTTGTGTCTATCAAGCCTCGCTGGGGAGATGATACTGCCAATGACCAAGGGAGAAATGGAGAAAGAGAAGGAAGATGATGAGTTGAATTTTGAATGGGCCTGAATAGGTACCAAGGATTTGGAAGTCCGGGTAATGCTACCTAGCAGGCAGTGTTGGGGGAGCTCGGTGGAGCTCGAGCAGGATCCAGGGATTTTTGGAGTCATCAGCGGAGAAGTGGTACTAGCAGATGAGTTCATCCAGGAAGAGATTTGAGAAGAAGAGTGGGTTGAGCAGAACCATGCAGAGAAACAAGAGATTTAATTGGCAGCTGGAGAAAGAGAGACCCTGAGAAAATGCAGAGAAAGAATAGTCATGGAAGCGAAGAAATTGTCACTGGAGCTGAGAAAGGACTTCTAGTTCAAAATGACAGATGGATCACATGCATAACCTGTTTTTTGTACACTTCTAGACCCAACTAGAATATTGACAAAGCAATTATATAGCTATAAAGTGCCACAGTGGAGAAGAAACGAAGTGAGTCATCAACAGGTAGGAGATTTCAACTAATTACTGCAATGAGTGGCAACCAAAGAATAGGGCAGAGGCTGCAGAATCCCAGAGAGCATGAGGAGGCCATTCAGTGAAAGGGGTGGAGGTAAGTACCATGGATGAGGGAAAGGACACAGCACAATGTACACAAAACAGTTGACCCCTGCCCTATGCCTGTGCCTGGCTCCCGCCAAGTACATTCAGACAGTTCTCTGAATAAATCGAATCAATTTTGGGGAGAGAGAAGAACAGGAGTAGGTACTGCATTTGTGATGTCCCAGGGCAAGACTCTCTGCGTTTTGGTACTTGAGGTTCCACAGTCTAATAGTTGGCTCCTCACTCTCACAACTTAACCTAGTGAGCCCTGACCAGCCTTTTGTTTGGTGCAGCCCACAGTCCCTTTTAGAAAACTGAATTAGCTTTCCATATTTATAAATCTGGTTATTTTACATGAAAATCCAGATTTGCAAAAATTACCGTCAAATCATTAATATGTGGTTTAAGAACATATTTATTATACAAAGGCACATTTAAACCTCTTTGATTAAGGCGTCACACATTTATATGGCACATGTAATAAGCTTAAAGGCAGACTGCATATCCTCCTGGTTTATCTAATAATTCTTACATTATATGTAATTTAAAATTACAATGCATGCTCGCATATACGATGTCATTTGACTATCACAAAAAACTGGTAAAGTGGAAATAGACCCTATGGAAGAAAAAAAACAAGGCTCAGAAAGCTCAATAACTGGTGAGAGCCACCAGTCTTGACGCTATCTCCAAAACCACGGCTCTTAACCTCATTCCTGACGCAGCTGAGCGGTTTGCTCAAAACTGGAGCTCAACAAAATGTTAGTGTATGCTGACTTAACTCCTTTCACAGAGCTCATGAGTTTGGAGGGAGGCAGGACAAGAGGCAGAGGAGATAGCACAGGAGAGAGGAGAAAGGAGAGGTGGACACCAATGCCCATAGGCTGCTAAGAGCTTAGGAAGTAAGCAGGTGGAGAAGCCAATCTTCGCAAATGACGCAAAAAGAAGCAAGTATGGGGTTTAGCTAATAATAATGTTTTCATCTTGTTTCATTGGTTGTGACAAATGCACCATAGTAAAGTAGTTAACAAGACTGTATATTATCCTTGTAACTTTTCTGTAAATCTACAGTTATTCTAAAATAAAAAGTTTATTTAAAAAAGAAGGGAAGGGGGAAGGAAGAAGAGGAAGAAGGAAGGAAGGAAGGAAGGAAGAGAGGAAGGAAGGGAGGGAGGAGGAAGAAAGGTAGGGAGGGAGGGAGGAAGGGAGGGAGGGATGGAGGAAGGGAGAGGGGAAGGAAGAGAGAGAGGGAGGGAGGGTAAGGGAGAGAAGGAGGAAGTGGGGAGGGGCACTTCCACCAATGTCACTGCTTACTTCCTCATATGGATGTTCTCGGCTTGGTCTTTCTTTTGGAAAAGATAAATCTAGAAAGTCAACCAAATAGTCATATCCTCCAGGAAAAGGGCTAAAGTCCTCATTCGTTTCAATCATCTGTGCAAATAACAACACGATAAAGGGAAGAAGCATATCAATCTGGTGGTCAAGGTCCTTAAAAAATTCTAGAATGTGTAAGACCCGAAAGCCCTTAAATGGTAGCAGTGAATCGGCATTAACGTAGTCTCTCCTCTCCTTTCTCTTACTCCCTCTTTTTCCTCTAGCCCCTCCCTCAATCTCCCTCCTGTGTCTTGAACCGACAACATTCAAATCCTAGTCTCCTGCACTAGCAAAATTGCCTTATATCACTGACTTCAATCGAATTTACAGGTGATGATTATCTTAAGTACTATTAGTACTATCTAATACTATTCTATGTTTGCAGGCTAAAAATTAAATAACATTTGGAATATTTTTCATCATTATACAACAGCTAAAGATAAATAGTTTCATTGACAATTCCAAATGTTTTCTCTTTTTTCTGCTAATTGTCTAGCTGAAAATATCATTTACACTAATGTTTCCCAGGTCTTTGGATTTCAAAGACAATTTCCTAAAACATATTTAGGAGCTAATATCAGCACCACTATTTTATTTTGTCAAGTGAGGACTTAAAAAAATTTACATCTACTTTTATTTCATTAAAGGAAGAATGCTTTAAACATTTCAAAAATAGGAAGGACTCAATATTGGAATAATGACAACTCATCTCAAAAAAAGAGAGCTGACATCTTTGTAACCACACTCATATGCATACTCATATTTCACTGTTGACCTGTAAAAATCGTCACAGACTGGTCTTGGCCCCCAGGTAAGTTTTTAGGAATGCTTTTGAGAATGACAAGTGTTGCCTGGCATTAATGTTCAGGGGTTGAAAGAGAAACTTGGAAATGGTCCTTGCTCTGAGAGTGACCTATCCTGGTCTCTAAGAGAGTGAATGTGGTTCATTTCCTGATGCCTTTCCTAAACTTTGCCTGCAAGCACATCATCAGGCACTAAATGTAAGCCAGCAAAAATGTACATGTAAGTGGCTGGTTGCTTGCTGACTTTGCAGGTACTCCCGATACATTTCAGGCCTCCTCTTTCTCTTGCATTCCCTACCTGTTAGTATTTAACTTGCTTTTGGTGGATACACCTTCAGCATTGGTGATCAGGTTACAACTTGAATCACTTGGCATGTGGGTTCTATGTGTATGTGTCAGGCTAATTTAAGTTCTAGATCTAGGCCGACCTCATCACAGCTGCAGGTAAGTTACTTGCTTCTACATTATTCTGCTACAGGGCATCACCTCTGCAGTGCATCCCACCTTCAAGGTCCACAGTTTAAACAGCTGTTTCTGCCATGCCAAACAAAACAAAACACCCACAAAAACAAAAACAAACAATGAAACCAAACTTATGGTGATACGAGGGAAAAGAACGCTCCAAAAGAGAAACTAAGCTGGACTTCATCCGCCCCACAAGTGTTCAATAAGAGATTGTTTATCGCGTGGCCAGATCTATTCTCAGGCAGCTAGTGGGGCATGATGAATGCTTATTGAAAAACAACTTGGAATCCTAAGGATTTCCATCCATTTCATTGTATAAGAAAGCAAAGACAAGTAATACTTAATAGCCTACCCTGACCACCAGGTTATAATCCTTAAATCCAGCCCAGGTGAAGTACTCCTTTATCCAGGCTGAGTGAAGAAATATTTTATCTCCTACAGCTGCATTCAAGATTTTCAAATATGGTCCAAAGTCCCAGGAATCCTTGTAAATTTTAGTTCCCTCTGGAGGGTCTATGATGCCCTTGCTTAAAGACACAAAGGCAAGAGAACAGTGGAAGAAAGAAAAAATAGAGTTAGTGCTGAAACTCAAAAAGTTAACCATACAAGTGGCTTTACAAGAGTTCAGATGACCCTCAGGGTCCAATAGAAGTACCTCAGGGGCCTTGTGAGGGGCAGGGCCCACCCCCAACCTAAACTAGAATAGTTCCTTCTAATTGTTAAGCATGATGGGTTTCTAAGCCATATTTTATCTGAAAATAAGAAAGCATATGCCTAGGGAAGAAAAGTTGGAAAACCACTGATGTGGATCCTTTGGGTCCAAAAACTGAATGGTGGAAATATTGAATATACTGTCATCAGATTGAATGTGGATCTCTGCTCACCCCTGCCCTGCCCTTCACCTCCACTAGAATATAAATTTGATTAAAATAAAAACCATGACTGGAGCATAAATGGGCTCAATAAATATTTGTTGAGCACATGAATGGCTTTAGCCTATCTTTGATATATATTCAGAATGTTGCATCTCTAATATATGGGTTCCTACTGTACTAATCAAACCACAGCTCACAGACACGTGGGCAATTTAATCATGAAACACCATCAGCAATGTGGACAACAGAGATCTCTGACATTCCTAGGGCTCTGTGCATCTAGGGTAAAGGTGGATCATTGCATGAAATGCAAAATCTTGAATTGTGAGAATAGAATAGGATGTGCTCTGGATAAGGGACACATAGGGAGGGAAAAAGGCAGTCTAAAAGATTTGGTGAGTAATGGTAGGTCTCTATGTCCCTTTTCTCAAAACAACACTTTTAGTCCACTGTTTGCACAAAGCTACAAATGCACTGGTTTCTATAATAACTTACCTACCAAATCCTAAAGCTTCTGATTTCTAGATATATCTCAAATCTGCTTCTCCAACCCCTTACTCTGGTCTCAGTTTAGACCCTCACCAATCTCTTCCTGGATAAAACCACAGCCTCTCTGACTCTGGTTGTTTTCCCTCTAGCCTCTTCCCATACATGCTTCTCTGAAAACTGAAATGGTTTTTCTAAAACACAATATGGTAATGTGCATTCTTTGCTTTAGAACTTTCTTGAGCTCTCTTAACTCACAGGCAAGTTCCTTACACTGTCTGAGAACGCCTTTTCGACCCTAGCTTTTTTTCCTGCCCCATCCTTCTCCACTTCACTTCCCAACTCCGTACTCAGGGAGAAGGATGGCTTCCTGAGGGAAGGATGTTTCCACAGCTGTGTGCCTGTACCTAGTATGATATCTGGTATAAGGAAGGAGCTCAAGAAACCATTTCTGAATAAATGGCAGCTATTTATTCACTCATTCAAAGTATCTACATTCACCAAACTCATGACACTGTTTACATTTCCCTTCATCGCATGCCATTATTTCTGACTAAAATCTCTCTTCCTCCTCCCTCCCTCCCTCTCTCCGTCCTATCTACCCATCTCTATTTCATTCTCTCTTTCTCAATTAATCCACTTGTCACCTCCTCACCTCTGAGACCTAGCTCAAATGCCAGAGATTTCAGATTCAGTTTCCTTAACAACGTTTCCTGTTCTCTCCCATCCTCTTTTCCCCTCAACAGAGTTAAGCACTTGTCTCCTTCTGTCCCTTATACTCTGTTTTACTCCTGAAAATCCTACAATACTGACTGTCTTGTTACCCAAAATGCTTTGGTGGTACACCACGATACAAATGCAGATTCCTGGGCTCACCCTCAGATCTAATGAGTCAGAATCTCTAGGGGTGGAGCCTAAGAATCTGCATTTATACAAGTTCCTCAGGTTATTCTGATCTTCATTAATGTTTGAGAGTTACTGCTATATGATGCCTCTGGAGAACTGGAGAGAAACAATGGAGAGTCCAGCAAATGACAGTGACAAAGGCTCTTGAATGCCCCACTAATACTTGAAAGAACTGAAAATCTCTGTTGCCCTTGAACTGGGGAATAAAAACCACTTTTATCCTAGAGGTACGGGGGTGACCTTAAGGAATTTTAAGTAGGGAAGGAACAGGAACAGTTTTGCATTTTAAAAAGGTAACTTTGGCAGCAATGAAGAAGAGGGAGGCTTTTAAACTTCTTGCCTAAGATCCCAGTAAGAATTGTATCAGGACCCCAGGGGTCCACATACCAAGGGTACTTGTGAAACAAAAGCTTCCTGAAATAATAGTTATCTTTGTTAAATGCAATGTACTCAGGTCTTTTCTATTCTGTTCTGTTCTATTTTGTTTATAAAAAGTGCTTATTGTGATTGATGCCATTGATTTTATGACCCACCAATGGACTGCAACTACCAGAGACTAGCAGATTGAAGAAGGTGGGCATGGGGGAAGGACAAAAGCAGGTTTGGGGTGAAGGCACAGCAATAAGGCAGGGGCTGCTGCAGGAAACTTGGTAAAAATTGTGAGAAGCCAGACTCAGGCCATGGCAGAAGGGGCTGATGATGAATGATAGATTTGTGAGAGATTTATGGAGAGGAACTCACCAGATTTGATAGCTAACTTGACATGGAATATTACCAAAAGGACTGAATTGGCTGCCCAAACAACTCAGACTAATCCTGTAGAGGTGAGGCCAAGATCGTGTGCTCTGTTCTCCAACATGGTTAGTCTATTTCTAAATAAGGGTTCCATTTGGTTCAAGACAAGTATTTACAAAAATCTATGAGAGTGATGTCAGAAGCGTGGCAGAGTTAGAGATATCCCCAGATCTCCCCCATTGAAACAACAATAAGTGTAACATCTAAAATTCAACAAAAAACACCCAATCTGCGTACAAGCATGTCTGAGTGAGGGATCTGCAAATAAGAGCTACCACAGGACAGAACCATGGGAGTTGGTCAGTAGACTGGGAGAAACAAAGAAGCTGCTTCTCATAGCCCAAGCATCATGAAGGAAGAGGGTGAGGGTAGAAGGTGCAGCAGATTTCCTGAACAGCAGTGACTGAGAGAGCTGTGACCTCCACGCAGCAGCAGTGCCCAGGGATCAGGGCAGAAAGCAGAGAAGTGAGGAAGGCAGAGAAACAACAGCTGATTATTACCAGCCACAGTTGCAAAATGTGAGGCTGAGCTGCAGTCCCCATCCCCCAACCCAGAGGGTCCCTCCCCCCACATCCTCCCACACCAAACACCTCAGAGCCCCAGGGGAATCTGAGCAAACGCTACCAAAATTGTCACTAATGCTGACATTAACTGAGACTGAAGGTAGCGATTGTGATTGAATATTTATAAGAAAAACGAAAGGCATTATTAAGACTTTATATAAAGCAGGGATCCAAGAGGCTTAGACGCCACCTACTGGAAACCAAAAGATAGTTGGCTTCTTAGCAGCAGGCTAAAGAGGGACCTTTATATAATAAATCTCTTTTCTGGAAAAAAAGCAGAATACACTTCCATTAATGCCCAGGTGGAGAAATTGTCAATTAAACACCATGAACAACCAAGGTAACAAAGCAGCTCAGAAAGAAAGAGAAAAATCTTCAGAAAATAAGCTTATAGACATAGAAATGGGCAATTTAAATGACAGAGAATTCGGGATAGTACCTCAGAAAAAACTCAATAAGATCCAAAACAATTCATATCAACAATTCTAAAAATTGAGAAGACAATTAGATCAACAGAATAAGTTTTTTAGCAAGGACATTGAAACCCTTAAAAAGAACCAAATAAAACTTCAGGAGATGAAGAACACACTACAAGAGATGAGGAATAAAATAGTAAGCTAGGGAAATAGAGTCGACTAAATGGAGGAAAGGATCAGTGATATCAAAGACAGAAATATACAAATAAATCAGAAGGAAGAAGAGAGAAACCAAAGAATGAAAAAGAATGAAAGAAAAATACAAGAACTAGCTGATACCATCAGAAGAGGAAACAAGAATAATGGACATTCTTGAACAAGGAAGAAAAGGAGCAGGGACTAGAAAGCATTTTCAGACAAATAGTTGAAGAGAATTTCCCAAATCTAAGGAATGAGCTGGAGCTTGGAATTCAAGAAGTCAACAGAACACCCAATGATCTCAACCCAAAAAGGCTTTCATCAAGACACATTGTATTAAAATTATCAAAAATCAATGACAAAGAAAGAATTCTCAGGGCATCTAGGGAAAAGAACATGGTAACCTATAAACCGAAACCAATTAGGTTATAGTCAGACTTCTCAGCACAAACCTTACAAGCCAGAAAGGAATGAAATCAAATATTCAAACTATTAAATGAAAAGAACTACCAGCCAAGAATAATGTACCCAGCAAAGCTCTCCTTTAGATATGAAGGAGAAATAAACACCTTTCCAGACATACACAAATTGAGAGAATTTTCCACTATGAGGCTCGCATTACAGGAAATACTGAAAGGAGTCAGCTCACCTAAAACAAAATGACAAAACAAAAAACAAACATAATTAGGAGTAAGTCAACTAGCAGGCAGATAGAAGCAGAGGAGTGCAATCCATACTAAGAACAGAGCATTATAAGCTTAAACAATAAGAGAATTGCTATAGCAAGATAGTAATGAATGTTCAGCATACATAGGGACAAATTGAGATAACAATGACTGAAAAAGGGAGGATTCAAAAATCCATATTTGATATGGAAGATGAAGGAAACTGGACTTTTGCTTGAAAAATTTGCTTTAAAATTGAGAATATACAGATGTTAAATTATAATGTACACCTAAAAATTATATAATTGTATTAACCAATGTTACCCCAATAAACTTTAAAAAAATCCAAATTTGCAAAAGGGAATGGAGATAAGGCATGTGCAGAAGAAAATGGATGACTATATATATACATGTATATATATATGTACATATATATGTATGTGTGTGTGTGTGTATCTCCTTTACATATCCATAATGATAACCACATGCTAAAGATACTTCAGAACTAAAGTACATAACATAGAACAAGAAGGACCAGATGGAAAACCATTGAAACCCAACCAAAATAAACAAAAACAGACACATAAGGACAAAGAAGCAATGGAAACACCGAGCTACCAGAAAGCAAAACAAAAAACGGCTATAAAAAGACCTCGTACTTCAATAATTGCCCTAAATATAAATGGACTGAATTCACCAATAAAAAGGCACAGAATTGCAGATTAGATCAAAAAACAAAACCCAATCATATACTGCCTCCAGGAGACACATCTCATTTCCAAAGACAAAGATAGACTCAAAGAGAAAGGGTGGAAAATTATATTTCAAGCAAATGGCATTCAGAGAAAAGCAGAAGTAGTAGTACTAATATCGGGTGAAACGGACTTCAAAACAAAAACGGTTAAGAAAGATAATGAGGTTCACTTCATAACGATAAAGGGAATCATGCATCAAGAAGATATAACTCTTAATATCTAATCTCCCCATTAGGCAGCCCTAACATATGTAAAGAAATTACTAACAGAACTAAAGAGAGAAACAGACCAAATACTATCGTAGTAGGGAACCTAAATACCCCATTGTTGGATATGGACAGATCATCCAAACAGAAAAATCAATAAGGAAATAACATCCTTAAATGACACATTAGACCAACCGGACATAACTGACATCTCCTGAGCCTTCTATCTCCAAATAGCTGCTTATACATTCTTCTCTAGTACACATGGAACATTCTCAAGAATCCACCACATACTGGGACACAGAGATAGCCTCAGCAAACATAAGAGGGTTGAAATCATACCAACCATATTCTCTGATCATAATGCCTTAAAGCTGGAAAGCAACTGTTAAAAGAAAGAGGGAAAACAAATACATGGAGATTAAACAACATGATATTGAAGAATGACTGAGTCACAGAAGAAATAAAAAGAGAGATCAAGAGATACATAGAAACGAATGATAATGATAGTACAACATATCGAAACTTTTGGGACATGGCAAAGTGGTCATAAGAAGAAAGTTTATATCATTACGGGCTTATCTCAAAAAACAAGAATGAGCCCAAATAAACAACCTAACGCTTCATCTTAAAAAACTGGAAAAGAAAGAACAAATGAGGCCTAAAGTCAGCAGAAGGAAAGAAATAATCAAAATTAGAACAGAATTAAATGAAATTTAGAACAAAAAAACTATAGAAAAAGTAAATGCAACGAAGAGCTGGTACTTTGAGAAGGTCAATAAAATTGACAAACCTCTGGCTAGACTCACTAAAGAAAAAAGAGGAAGGACACAAATAAAATCAACGATGAAAGAGAAGTTATGACAGATGCTGCAGAAATACAGAGTCATACAAGAATACTATGAAAACGTACATAACACCAAATTTCATAACCTAGAAGAAATGGACAAGTGCTTTGAAAAATACAACCTTCTTAGACTGAATCAAGAAGAACTGGAAAATTTAAATAGACTGATCGGCAGTATGCAAATTGAAACAATCATTAAAAACCTAGCAAAAAGTAAAAGTCCAGGACCAGATGGCTTCACCAGTGAATTCTACCAAACAGTCAAAGAAAATTTAATACCTATTCTCCTCGAACTCTTCCAAAAAATTGAAGAGGAGGCAATACTTCCCAACTCATTTTATGAGGCCAGTATTATCCTGATACCAAAACCTGGTAAAGATAACAAACAAAAAGGAAACTACAGACCAATATCTCTCATGAACACAGATGCAAAAATTCTAAATAAGATACTAGTGAACCGAATACAGCAACGTATTAAAAAGATTATACACCACGATCAGGTAGGCTTCATCCCAGGGGCACAGGGATGGTTCAACATGCGCAAATCGATTAATGTGATACACCACATAAACAAATTAAAAAATAAGAATCACATGATCATATAATAGATGCAGAAAGAGCCTTTGACAAGATACAGCAACCATTTAAGATCAAAACACTTAACAAAATCGATATAGAGGGAAAGTACCTTAACATAATAAAGGTCATCTATGACAAACCTTCAGCCAACATTATACTTAATGATGAAAAACTAAAAACTTTCCCTCTAAAATCAGGGACAAGGCAAGGCTGTCCACTATCACCACTGTTATCCAATATAACATCGGAGATGCTAGTGAGTGCAATCAGACAAGAGAAATATATAAAAGGCATCCAAGTAGGAAATGAAGAAGTCAGACTGTCACTATTTGCAGATGACATGATTCTCTATTAGAAAACCCTAAAGACTCCACAGAGGCAGTGAAATAGGAAATGAAGAGCACATCCTCTCACGATTTGTGGATGACATGATTCTCTATATAGAAAACCCTAAAGACTCCACGTGAAAACTACTAGAAACAATAAGCAAATACAGTAAAGTTTCTGGATACAAAATCAATGTTCTAAAATCCATAGCATTCCTATACTCTAATAATGAATTGTCAGAATAAGAAGTGGAAAAATAATTCCTTTTGGAATTGCACCAAAAAGAATAAAATACCTAGGAACAAATTTAACAAAACATGTGAAGAACCTATAGAATGAAATCTACAAGACCCTATTAAAAGAAATCGAAGAAGATACAAAGAAATGGAAAGATATTCCATGTTCTTGGATTGGAAGAATCAACATAGTTAAAATGATCATATTACCTAAAGCAGTATACAAATTTAATGCAATCCCCATCAAAATCCCATTGGCTTTTTTTAAAGAAATATAACAAAAAGTTATCAGATTTGTATGGAAGCACAAAAGACCCCGAATCACCAAAGCCATCCCGAGATAAAAGAACAAGGCTAGAGGCATCACTCTGACCGACTTCAAATTAATACTCCAAAGCGACAGTAATCAAAACGTCATGGTATTGATAGAAAACCAGACACACAGACCAGTGGAACAAAATTGAGAGTCCAGACGTAAACCCATGTTTATATGGACAAATAATTTTTGACAAAAGAGCCAAAAATATACAGCGGAGAAAGGAAAGTCTCTTTAATAAATGGTGCTGGGAAACTGGAAAGCTACCTGCAAAAGAATGAAACTAGACTGTTGTCTATCACCGCGCACCAAAATTAACTCAAAATGGATTAAGGACCTGAATATAAGACCCGAAACAATAAATTGCATAAAGAAAACATAGGAACTAAACTCATGGACCTTGGACTTAAGGAGGATTTTATGAATTTGACCTCAAAGACAAGAGAAGTAAAAGCAAAAATAAATTAATTGGAGTACATTAAACTAAAAGGCTTCTGCACAGTAAAAAAAACCATCAACAAAGCAAAAAGACAACCATCCAAATAGGAAAATATATTTGCAAGCAATGCCTCTGGTAAGGGCCTGATATCCAAATATACAAAGAACTCATACAACTCAATAACAACAAAAAAGCAAACAATCTAATTAAAAATGAGCAGAGGACCTGAGGAGACACTTTTCCCAAGATGATTTAAATATGGCCAACAAACATATGAAAGGATGCTCATCGTCCCTAGTTATTAGGGAAATGCAAATCAAAAACACAATGATATGCCATCTCACACCTGTTAGAATAGCTGTTATCAACAGGACAGGTAATAACAAGTGTTGGAGAGGGTGGGGAGAAAAAAGAACCCTCAAACACTGCTGGTGGGATTGTAAATTGGTACAGCCACTATAGAAAACAGTATGGAGGTTCCTCAAAAAACTAAGAATTGATCTACCAAATGATCTAGCAATCCTTCTACTGGGTATTTACCCCAAAGACTTGAAAACTCATATCCAAAAAGATATTTGCACACTGATGTTCATAGCAGCATTATTCATGGTGGCCAGGACATGGAAGCAACCAAAGTGTCCTATGATAGATGATTAGCTAAAGAAGCTGTGGTACATATATACGATGGGATATTACTCAGCCATAAGAAGAGATGAAATACTGCCAGGTGCCACAACATGGACGGACCTTGAGATAATCGTGCTAAGTGAAATAAGCCAAACAGAAAAAGTTGAAAATCACATGATATCACTTATATGTGGGATATAAACCTAAAAGCAACAAACAAACAGGATAAACAAACAGAGACTCATGGATATGGACAATAGACCAGTGGTTACCAAAGGTCGGGTGGGGGGAGGTGGGGGAGGTAGATGGGGTAAAAGGAGTCAAATATATGAAGACAGAAAGAAATCTAACTATGGGTGGTGAACACACAGTGCTATATATATATGACTTACTGTTGAATGATACACTGAAACTTATTTGATTTTGTTAATGTCATCCTAATAATTTTTAGTTAAAAAAGAGAAGGGAAATAACTTATAAAATAAAATAAAATAAAATGTAAAGATAATATATATATATAAAAAATGTAGGTCTGTGACATCAATGTTAACTTTTCTTTGGTTGCCCTCCAGTATGTCATTACTTGTTCAAATGTACTGTCTGTGGAATAGAGAGTTGGGTGATGTTTATGCTGATATGAAAACTAACTCTCATGCTTATGGCTTTTTACTTAAATATGAAAATTATTTCTGAGCTATATCAAACTTTTTCATGAGTAATTATTACATAGAATTAGAAACTTAGGGGGGAACTCAGTTTTTTTTCTCCTAGATTTGAAAGATACCTATTTAATAGTTTATTTTATTTAAATAGAAAGACTTCCATTTGAAGAAGTGATATGTGACTCTTACTGCATACCAAGCTCAGTATGCTAGTCAACAAAATAGAGACCTGTCAAGAGGTCACAGTTGTGTCCCTCATTTTCTCATTCAATTGAGAAAATTCATAAATCATTTTTATTCTCTATAAATATTTAAGCCGAACCTGTCTGTTGGATCTTTGAGCATCCTACCCAGGTCAAGAGTGGCTCCGGGTTGCGGGGTCCATGTTACCACATCAGAATTTTTCCGAATAAGATTGTTGAGTTCATTTGGGTCATTTTTGATGTTTGTTTCCTTAATATACCTGAGAAATAAGAACATTCTCAAGTAAGAAGTTTACTCTCAGATGTACAGTCTGATTACAACAATGACAGATTTTTTTTCTTTTCTCTGTATTCCCACTTCCCAATCCACTTATCCCAGAAAATTAAAGACTAGAAGAATTGTTATCAAGGAAGATTGTATGTATACCTTGTTTTTAGGTATAACCAGATGGTATTATATTAAATATTGAATCAATATTTAATACACTATCTATATTGAAAAGAAGTTAGATGTAACAAGACTAAATATTACAAATAGGTGGAAATAGCACACTCTTGTATTTAAGATTGATTAAATATTATTTGGCAGGAATTATACCAAGTGCTTCACAGGAACTAATTGATTCTGTCTTCACAACACTCTAATGAGCTAGCTTCCATTATTAGTCTCCTTTTATAGAGAAGGGAACAACAGGCTTAGACAGCCAGGTGACTTGTCCCAGGTCACACCACACAGCATGACCCCCGGATTTCCACCACACAGCCAAAGCTACCCCAGCCTTCCCAGGAGGCCGCAGGAGCAGCCCCTCCCCAACTTTGGGAGTAGAGTCTGAAAAGTCTTTCCTCCCTCTCCACTATGTGAGGTTACATGAAAAAGTCTACCATCTATGAACTAGGAAGCAGGCCCTCACAAGACAAAGACTCTGCCAGCACTTTGATCTTACACTTTCCAGTCTCCAGAACTGTGAGATAAATTTCTGTTGTTTAGAAGCACTCCTCCTCCTAGTCTTTCCACTCAAAAGCATTCGGAATACATCTATTACAAAAGAGTACACACATCCTCAGTTGCCGTCCTGAGACCTAGTTTCTAATTGTGCTATTGATCAGAACTGGGTATCTCCAAAGTCGAATTCCAAGCCACAGTTTTCTGGAAAAGCTGTAAATCGCCAATTTCAATGTGATATGGGAAAGTAATTGTGGTAGTGTTGGAGTAGAAGAAGGGAGATCCAGAGAAAAAAGATTTGGCATTGTTTTATCTGACATGGGTTAGGTAGATGGACATTTCTGTTAAAGGAAATTTCACTTTCTTGAGCTACAACTTGGTTACCTAGACTGGACAGATATTTTCAGTCAGATAGATGAACACAAAACAACTGTAAGCATTTGTATTTCTATAGCATCATGGTGAGTTACATTACTTATGACCCTGGAATCAATTTTGCAGACACGAATAAAGATGTCACTCCAAGACATCCAGTAGCATTTCCCTTCCTACATGTGTTAGTGTCTTCCCACTGCCGTAGTCCTCAACTGGAAGCAGTGCCACCACTTTGTCTCATATTTCTTACTGCATCTAGTCTCAAAATGGTTCACTAGCTGGTTTCCCTGCCTTCAATCTCTTCATCTTCAAACCATGATACTATCAGATTACTCTTCCTAAAACAGAATGCATCATATTCACAAAATTCTGTAATTTCTTAATGTTTCTTTGCCTCCCTCTCTAAAATAGTAATAAAACCAACACCTAGATGCTGCCCACTGAGGGTTACTGTGGGTGCTGAAAGCAACATTTGCCAACTACTACATTCCCCTTTGCGTTCTTACCACACAGACATTCGACATTAGCTCCCTAGTGCATGTCTGATCATGACCCCGTTCCTCATTAGACTCTTCCCTGCAGGATAAAATCCAAGCTATATGGTTTGGTACAGCATGCTGTTCACTGTATGGCCAATGCCTTTCATACATTCCCCTGCACTCCTCATACACCCTCCTCAGTCACCTATACTCTCATCTCGGCATCTTTTTATCTTTGCTGGTCAGTGTCTGCTTATACTTCAAAACTTAGCTTCATAGTTGCATCTAGTTGTCATTTTCTGACATCTGCATCCAACTGCCTCCAGAGCATACATGTATCAAAATATCATTCTATATTATAATTATTTTTCTCTTCCAATAGACCATAACTCTGAAGACGATCATTTCATCTCTAGTTCTCCAGCACCTAGCACAGTACTGCTCAATAGATGATAAATGAATGAATAAATAATGAACAGCATTGATCAAAAGAAATCATTTTTTAACTTTAAGCCAATCTTTCTGGAAAAAAATTGGAAGATATGAGACAGCTGAATAATGTCAACAAGGTTAAAAAGGAAATACATCAGCAATAGAAAATATTAAGTGATTAGACACATGTAGCTATGTCATCAGTGAACATAAAAGAACATCAGAGTGAAAACAGTCATGTTTTAATGATGAGGCAAATGGATCCCAGAGAAGTCAATTCGTTGGTAGGAGCAGAACCTAAATTCTATGTGCATTATTTCTCCTACTGTACTGTGCTGCCTCTAGTGGATGAAAAATCCTGGCCAGTCCTTATAGGATTGGATAGTGTCATGAAAATTTATCTCAAAGACTGGTTTTATAGATAAGTGTACTCTCAGAGTAGAATGACACATGCATTCACTGTCTGCACGTAGGCAGTTTCTGCCTTTTGTTCACAAAATGTTCCTAGTATTGGTCATAAAGTGGATCTTCAATAAAACAGATGGTAATTGTACTTGCTCATAAAAACAGTATTATAATTAGAGGATGAGTCACTGCACGTACTAAGGATCAAATATAGTCTACATACAATCAACTGAATCTTATCAAAGAAAAATTAAAACAGCTACAAGATCTTAACATTTGAAATAATAAAACTATGCTTCCAATATTACAAAATAAATAAATTGTATATATTATTTTTTTAAGGGTTGTGAATTCTATAAAATGTGTATGTATGTTTGTGTTACAACTCGATTGTGGTTTCATTGTAGTTTTAATCTACGCTACACAATAGCCAATATGGGCAAGTCATTTCTTAACGTTTATTTGCATCAATATATCTTCTTTGCTGAAGTATTTGTTCAAATGTTTTGTCCACTTATTACTGAGTTCTTTGTTTCCGTACATTGATTTTGGAGAGTTCATTCATTTGACCATTAAAACAAAAACATTAATATAACATTGTCAAAGAAAATTAATGGACCTCCAAAAATACACTTGAGAAACAAGACCTAGAAGTTATATTGCTGCAAGAGAAATCATTTTAGATACCCCCAAATGAGAGAACAACTTGAATTTGATAATGATACAATTCTCTACTCTTAAGTGCAGTGTGGTGTAGAGAAAAGAGCTGTGGAGCTAGTTAGTCATACCAGGTTTCGGTTCTCAGCTACTGTGTTCCCAACAGGGTGGCTGGCTTTGGGCAAATTGCTTAGTCTCTCTGAGTTTCAGATTCCCTAACTGCAAAAAAGGCATAACACCTACCTCACAGTGTCACTGGGAAGATTGATTTAGATGACTTATACTGAACACATATTAGTTCATCCTCCCAGAATCCTTTCAGACAAAATCTATCTAAATTAACTCTAGCCGCCAAGCATCTCTGTTTTCAGGTAGCTTGTTAAATAGGCCCCAGACTTCTACTAATCACTCTTCTTCATTTCATGTTGTTAAGTTAGCTTTAACTTAAAGCTAAATAACTCACCCCAGGACACATTAACTTATGTGTAAAAATGTACAAAACATTCAGCCTTACTTGTCTGATGGGTGAGATTCCACAAAATACCCGGCAAAGGGGCAATAAATTCGGGGTTGTAGGTCCTTCACTAGCCGAACCTTGTAGTTCAGGAGCTTCTTCCTTTCTGTTTTAATAAACTGGGCTTTCCATTCCTCTGGAATGACAGAGTTTAGGTTAGAGTCTCCTCTGTTCGGAAATCACAAAAAACAAAAGTTCTAGTGGATTGGAACTCTTTCAGGAGATAAAGTTGAGAGATGAATAATACAGAAATAGAACAAACCTCTGGGTCATTAGTGAAAATTCCCCCCAGTTTTATTTTGAAAATTTCAGTTGGTTAGTAGGAAAATATTACTAACCCAGCCAAAAACAACTAAACCCTCTCCTTGTTTATGGTCATTCCTTCGAACCCTAGCTGAACACATAGGGCGGCATGCGTGGTAGGACCTTGCATGATGTACATTTTAAGGGCATTGTAATTCTTGTAATTATTAACTCTTTGCTAACATGGAAATGGCTTTTTTTGTTTTGGTATATTATAAATGTAAAACATGTTTATAATACCCTCGCAATGCACAGAGTTTAAGAGCATGGATGATGGAGTCAGTTACGACAGGATAAAAATGCAGCTCTACTATGTAAATCCTTTAAGTTTGTTTCCTCCTCTGTAAAATGGAATCATGATGCCTGCCTCAGAGGCTGTTCTTTTGTTCATGTGCTCATTCATTCATTCATTCATTCATTCATTCAATTGAGCACCTATTTTATGCCAGACATCATTCTAGGCATTGAGAATACAGTGATGAACAAGATAAAGCAGGCCTCTGCTCTCAGGGAGCATCCATTTTAGTGAGAGAAGCAAATAAGGAACAAGTAAATAAATAATGTCATTTCAAAGAATGAAGATCAAGGAAGGAAGTAAAACAGGGTGATGGGAGAGAGAGGCTGGGGGAGGAGTGTGGAATAGAGGTACGTTCTGAGGCAGGGCAGTGAGTGAAGATGGTGTTGATTCAGAGAGCACAGGCATAGACACAGAATAAGGAAGTTGCCAACTGCGTGGAGATCAAAGGGAAAGTCCCAGGGCAGGGATGCACTGGTATGTTGGGTGTGGGGAGCAAAGAGCAGGCCAGTGTAGGCTGCTATACAGCAAACAAATGGGAGACAGGCAGTCAAGGAAGATGAGGAATTAGGCAGGGACCGGGGCATGTGGGACACTGTATCAGGGAGCTGTTCCTACTTTTATTGCTATGGAAATTTGATAAACACAGACAAGGATACAGAAAAAAGTAAGTTACCCATAACTGAGCCATAACCACTATTAAGATTCTAGTATATTCCAAACCATTTTAGATATCTGTGCATGTACTCACGCATATACACTCGCACAAGAATGGGATTATGCTAGTTATCCTTCAATAGGAATGTTTTGTCCCCCCAGTCATGCTGTTAACTCCCAAGGACAGTCCTTCCCTCTATCTCTTATGTGGTTATGTAATCTAGAAAGCAATGAATACAGACATATAGAGAAAAGGAAGGAACTGGACTGAGGCTTTCTTCATACTGCAAGTGGGCATTTTCTGTCACATTGTTAGACAGATATCACTTACCAAACATATTAATTTATTGAGTGGACATATATTGAAGACTTACAGCACTAGTATTGAGGATACCCAAATGAACAAAATATATCACCTACATACTTTCCCCCATCCCAGCCCCAGCACCACCTGTAGAGCCAGAGTAGAAGGGCCCCTGCTTGGACCCCACTCTCTTTTTTTCTAGCTCCAAGATACAACTGACATATGATACTGCATCAGTTTAAGTTGCATAACATGATAATTTCATACACATGTATTGTTGCTAAATGATTACCACAATAAGGTTAGTTAACATATCTATCACGTCACGTAATTTTATTTTTTGGTTGTAAAACATTTAAGATCTACTCTCTTAGTAACTTTTAAGTATATAATACAGTATTGTTAACTATGGTCACCACGTGTACCTTACATCTCCAGAACTTATTTGTTTTGTAACTGGAAGTTTGTATTCTTTGACCAGTATCTTGTCATTCCCCCTACCCCGACCTTCAGTGACCCCACACTTTAGAGGGGCTTCCTCTGGCTGTAGGCTTCCCCTGTATGAGCATTTCACAAGGCCAGGGAATGAGCCTACATCAAGTTGCACACAGCCTATTTTGAACCACATTCTAAGAGTACTTAAACCTGGATTGCCAATGTCAGATCTTTCCTGTCCTACTCTATGGTCTACACCATGAATCCAAATGATTCTTTCTCTGCCTATTCCTGAGATGCTCCCTAACCTCCTTAGTGTTTCATTCATGCTCCATCAGCATTCTTTGAGTTGGAAACTTAAGTTTGTATACCTGTGATTTGCAAGTCTGGATTTTCAATAAAATCATGAGCTTCTTGTGGGGGAGGGACCATGCCTTAATTATCTTTGTGTTTATTCTCACAGCAGCTGGTAAAGTGCCATGCCTGCTCCTTGGTTTCATTCATATAAAATATTACCAGTAAATTTTCCACCACTGAAAGTCATTGGAAATCCTGATGCTCCTCCAGCAAAATCACTCATCATTAGAGCAACCTTCATAGGCAGTCTTCCCCCATTGGGTCTGGTGCAGTCGACTGTATTAAGTATTTTATGACCTGTGGAAAAATAAAGTGGCACGAGTATTCAAGATGAAATCTTAAACACCAAAGTTTGCATTCCCAAGCCAAAAAAGTTTTCCACACACAGTGTGTAATCTGACTCATTATGATTACAGAAGAATAGCTTATGCCCAAGGAAAAAAAGTCAGATTTCAAAACCTAAGATCTTTACTATCAAATTCTGAATTTTCAAATGAATAAATTCATCCTGTTTGATGTGGTAGATTCTGGATGTCACATGAGGATGACTAACTTCAGTCCACTCTAGGGTCGTAGCCGACTATCTCCAGATGTTGAGACCAAAGAAATCAAGGGAAGGGGTGATTAGATTGATGCAAATTTCTTAATCTTTTACAAATGCCATTCCAAGCTCACGTTCAAATGATTGTTGGGGGGCAGTAAGACCAACTTCTCAAATGAAAGGCAGAAGTGTACAATTTTAGTACATGATAATATTTTAAGATGAAAGACTTATTTAATAAAGGCAGCTTTGAAGAAATTTCTATAGGTAAAATATAGAATATCTGTTGCCTCATTAAAAAAAAAAAGCTTTGTACCCATCACTACATAGAATACATTACTAGTAATTCATTCTCTGGAAAGATTATCTGAATCACAGCTCATTTTTCTAAGACAAGGATAGAATATATTATAGTCTATGTAAAATAAAGATGAAAGAAGATAAACATAGGATGAAGTTTCTGATAGTTATTATTATCCTTCCTAACAAGAGTATTTTTTATTTTTTATTGTTGATAAGGTTGAAAAAGTACCTTTGTATTCCACAATAATGCAAGTGTCCATCTCAGGATGAACGCCATCCATCAAGATCATGAATCGAAGATTTTTGTCTACCTGAAATTTAACGATAAAACCAGCGACTGTGTATGTCAGTTTAGCTTTTAATTTCTCTTTTTGAGAAAGCTGTCACCTCTGCTGGAAAGAAATCTCCTTAATTTAAAACTAAATGTATTATCCTGTACTATAGAGTTATACTATACTATATAGAGAGTCTTTTATTTTAGCTCAAGGGACATTTAGAATGGAGGTTATCTATACACAGTACTATGTACAGACAAAATAGGTCATTGTTTTTTAATCTTAAAGTGACTACTTTACCTAACATTCAACATGGAAACATAACTGAAAAGTGTGGAAAAAACATGGGTATCTCACCTGCTGCCATATTCCAAATGGCACTACATTGATATTAGTCAACTGAACACCACTCTGATTCATATTCCAAAATACAGGTCTTTCTGTGTTTCCAACATAAATGGGAATATCTGGTCTTTTTTCAGCAAGCTTCTTCAGTGTGGGGTAACTAGGATCAAAAGGATGGAAAGGTTGAAAGGTGAAAAAATAGGACCATTTAGTATCAGAAATAGTTTGCTCCCCACATCACATGTTGACCAACAAGTAAGGAACTGAAAAACCAGACTCATCAGAGTCCACAAGAATTTTTTCTCAAGGCTGACTGGAAAGGTGAGGGGAATCTCACCACTGCAGGCAGGTTTCCAGTCTTCAAAGTTTGACAGCTATACATAGGTATACAGAATGAATTCTTTTCCTTAAGGAGAGTCAATTACCAGCAGGGCGAGACAGTTAAATTTAGTGCAGAGAAAAATCACATTTAACATTTGTAGTAATCCCAACTTAGTATACGATTAAGTACACCACGCAAATATTTTTGAATACCTGTATAAATTAAGTCAATTTTCATTTATTGAGTGTTCATTATGTGAAATGATTATATACCACTGTGGGGCATGGCAAAAAAAGATGAATAAATTACATTACAAACAATGGTGATAGGTACTTTCACATGTTACTTTGATTCTCACAAAAAATTGAATTTTTCTTTGTTTTTATAAATAAACATATTCAGAAATAGACAACTAATAAATAGTAAGTTGGTAATCAAATTCAGGTTTTCAGATTCTAAACCTAGTGCTTCTATTAGAAGGCAATTCTCAATTTTAATGAATATGCCATATGGTTTCAGAATCATATTTATATAGAGTATCATGTCAGATGAAATAAGTTATTTGATCATGAGACATATAAACAAAGTATGTATATCAGCACTTATTAACTGTGCTGATGTTCAAGTTTCAGCACTATGTTAAAAGCTATCCAAATATATAGAATCCAGGGGCGGGGAAACCAGTAGGTTTTCTTCTCTAAAAGCAAAGGATTAAAAAAGTCAAGGATTCTTTGAATGTATCTTCAGTCTCTGGGTTCAGCATCTAAATCTCCTATTTTAAAGGACTTTGGGAATTAGGATAAATTACTCTAAAATGGATGTTTATGATATGTTTGTGATATTTTAATTGTTGAGAATTCTTACAGGCATCTGTTAATAATATCACCTATTACAATACTCACTGTTTTTACATAATAAAAAGTCACATATCTTTGACTAAAGACTGCTGTCTAAAGTACATTGGCCTTTCCCCTTGTTTTTGTGAATCAAAGAGGTTTCATTCATTAATAAAGTTCGGACAAGAAGAATGGGGCAAATGACCCCCATGTTTATTAGTTAATTAGGCAAGTAAGGATCATTGAAAAAAATAGACTCAATAGAGTAAAAATTAGGAGCCTATGTAACTTTTCAGCAATAAACTACTTTAAACTAATAAACACACTCCACAACCAACGTGTTATACTGTACTTGAGAACTTGTGTTTCAGTGTCTGACAACTTTGCCCACACAAGTACCTGAAATTAAAACTAAATTGGTTTTCAGGACAGTGATTGGGATATAATCAGACTCAATGACATGAAAAGTTCTTACCCTCCCTAAAATTCAGTGTGCTCCCATAGGCAATTGCATTATGAAATAGGCACTATGAATCAATCACCTCATGTATGTGCTATTGTTCTCACTGTAAATGCTGCATAAAATTAGCACCACACACGCTGTTATTACACAACGTTTGAACCCAGGGGTCTCATAAACATGAAGTTGTGCAAGTTTACTTTTAGGAGGTTGAGTGGGACAAAGGCATTACTGAGTAGACAAGTAGATTTTTAATCGTAGAACCACAGTACCCCAGTGAGCTGTGGTCAATTTGTGTGTGTTGCAGGTAATTTGTTGCTAAACCAGTTAATTAAGTTTTTAAGCCATTGCCTTTTAGAAAGATAAAAGAGGGTGTATTTGTGGCTTAGAGATCCTATGCTTTAGAATAGAAGATCAAGGGACCAGCCAACTGGCAAACAATGTGAACTTTGTTATATAAGGTCACAGAAAAAAATAATTCTTCTTTAATCCTTTTTAATTGCCTGGGTTAGGGGAGTTTCCATTTCTATCATCAGTGCCTCCTTGTTCTGGTTTCCATGAAGTGTCAGTTGAGGTTGACATAAGGTTAAAAGGCTGGGAGCTCAGTGTGGTTGGGACACTACAAAGCAGAAGTTGGCAGACCAGAGTTACCTGCTGCTGCCAGCTAAGAGAGGTTTTCATCTTTTAAAAATGATCGAAGAGAAAATAAAAAAGATGGCGATATTTTGTGGAACATGAAAGTATATATTTAAATGTCCTTGTCCATAAAAAAGGTTTTATTGGGACACGGTCGAGCTCTCTCAGGATTGTCTGTGGTTGCTTTTGTGCTACAACAGCAGAGTTGAGTAGTTGTGACACTCTCGTGACCACATGGCTTGTAAAGCCAAAACTATTCACACTCTGGCCCTCTAGAGAAAATGTGTGCTGATTCCTGCTATAAATGTTGAATTGAAAAAGGAAGTCAACTTTGATGATCCTTCAACCTAGACTTTTATCAAGTGGGCTGAGGGTGGGAAGTGAGAAAGTTGAAAGAGTTATTAACCCCTGTCCTCCTTCCCACCATAGCTCCTTCTTCACTCCCAATGGCATAAAGTGTGGAAACACTTTTAAACAAAGTGAGCAGTGATTGCAAAAGTGATTGCCTTTCCCGTAGCTTTTTCTTATGAGCTGAGGGTCAGAACTTCATTACCTCAGGTGGTCTGAGTGCATGTGACTGATGTAAATTAGGTCCGCTCGGCACAGCCTCTCCAGCCAGTCAGATGGTGGCTCATGAAGCAACCACCATCCTCGGGCAAAAGCAGGACCGATTAACCAAGGGTCAAACACCATTCTCTTGTCTCCCAGCTTGAGGTCCATGCAGGCATGAGTGAGGTATGTTATCTGTTGAGAGAGAGTGAAATTCAAATTATTGAATCATGACTGGCAAACAACAGAAAATTGAAAGGCTTGGGCTGGTTAGGTGACAAGTCACTTTGGAGAAGTTTGCTCCTGAGCATACTCAGCAAATAGGACTCAATTGAGACTCAGCAGGAGTCTTGATGTAGATACAACTCCCAGCTCAGGTCACTACTGTATTAGAATAGAAATTCTCATAGTTGGTTTTGGGTGTCAAACCAGTGGACTTACCTAGTTTTAACCAATTTAAATTATCTCCTAAATACTTACTTGCAGTCTGCACTGCAAAATATCTTTTGTGACCAGTCCTCCAAAGCACAATTTACAAGGAAAGGCAGTCAGAGATGTTATGACTGGCATTTGGGGGTTTAAATGCCAGAGAGATTGTGAATTAGAATATGAATGAATGATTCCCAGTGAGATTGGGTGGGTTGTCATAGCCTTGCAGCCTGGCTAAACAGGCTTACAAAGCTTTCTCTTCTAAATGATCCCCAACTCCTCACTTCAGGATGTCCATAAAACAGTGAATGGCCATAAAACAGTGCCTAAGGGCAAGGTACAGACTGGAGGATTCAGAATCAATTCCTCATTCCCTGCACCGAGAAGCCGTGACAAGGTAATAAACTGGTGAGAAAAGCCAAGAAATAAGGTGAGGAGAGGTCAAGGACATAAATTTGTTTTTATTATGCCTGTTCTGGGTTGGTTTCCATTTGTTTCTTCTATTTTTGCAAGCTTCCCAAACATTTCAGAAAAATAAATTTTGATTGTTTACCTCCCTCAAACTCCCAAAGTGAACTCTCTTCTAATGCCAGGAAAATACACAAGAAAGTTTGTAAAAGAATTTAGAGTGATTGCAGAAATACACAACTGGCCATTTTATCTGACAATGATGTGGTATCTGGGTAATTTCTAAACTTCTTCCAATAGTTTTGCATAATCTCCTTTGGGACTGCCTCTAAACGATTTTTTGTTTTGTTTTTTATTTTTCTGGATTTTTCCTTGTAATCCCTGCCAAGTTCTGAGAGTTCTTAAAAAAATTTGCTCAAGAGTTCATAATAACTTTACTATATATCCTAACTAGCCACATCAAAGAGTATTCAAGGCACTACAGGATGTAAATGTGTATGTAGTGGACATCTTAGTTTATTTTATATACATTATATACATACATACATACATATGTAAATGGACATTTTAGTTTTATTAAGAATTGTAATTTTAATATTTTCTTACTTGAACTTCCCCAAAAGCCAGATCTTCAGGTGATCTGGGCTCTGAGTCCCAGGGGTTGGGAGGATTAAGTTCTAGAAGTGAGAGTCCATTTTCTTCATCCATTTCAATAACTAGATCCAAAGGAAAGCAAATCCAAATGAACAAATATGACTTTAAAAGGCATCACTGAAATAGAAATGAACAGCCCAGATACACAGAGTACCAAAAATCAAAGGGAAATCAAAGCAAAGGCAACACTCATTTGAGTCAAGCAACATCTGCTGAGATGAAGGCTAAACACAAACACTAATTCATAATAATTTATGCATATTACGCTTCAAGAACTCAGTTGTGTCAGGGACACAGACACACACAAACAACCGCATTGCAATGAATGATTAATGGATGTAGTTTCAAGGTGCTACGGGAATGTACAGGGCGGAGCACCTAGTCTGGTTGTAAGAGTCGAAACAGATTTCAAATAGGAATTCATCCTCCAGCTAGACTTGAAAGATGAGATATTTGGGGCAGACACAAGAAAGATGACGATATGAAGAGGGATAAGAGAAGAGCATGTGCAAAGGATGGAGGCACGGAAGACCTTGGTATTCACAAAGTGACTGGTAACTTATGGCCAAGGAAACTGGTGTTTGAGTTCCACAAGACAGACAGGTAGCCAGAGTAGGTCATGAAGGAGCTTAGATACCATGCTGGGGAGGAGATTAGATTTTATATTGTGGCCATGAGGGGCCAATGAAGAATTGTGGCAGACACTGCTGGTGGCTTGCACAAAATTCACTCTCTCATTTTTCCTTACTGTTAGCATCTTAATTTTTTTTTTGTAGGAGTGGTTGATATGCCTATCTGAAAATCATGATTAAGTCAGAAAGATAAAGACAAATACTTCATGACTTCACTTATATGGGGAACTTAAAGATCGAAATTAAGAAAGATGATAGACTAAAAGTAAAAGGATGAAAAAAGATTTTTCATGAAAATGGAAACAAACAAAGCTGGGGTAGCAATATGTATACCAAACAAAATAGACTTTAAAAGAAAGGCTATAACAGGAGACAAAGAAGGACACAGGAATTCCACTTTTGGGTATTTATCTGAAAAAACCCAAAACACTAATTTGAAAAGACATATACATCCATACGTTCACTGCAGTATTATTTATAATAGCCAAGATATGGAAGCTACCAAAGTGTTCATCAATTGATGAATAAATAAAGAAGTAGTAAATATATATAATGGAACATTATTCAGCCAAAGAAAAGAATGAAATTTGACATTTGCAACAACATGAACGAACCTAGAGGGTATTATGCTAAATGAAATGTTGGACAGAGAAAGACAAATAACATGTAATTTCACTTTTATGTAGAATCTAAAAAACAAAATTAATGAACAAGCAAAACAGAAACAAACTCATAGATAGAGAACATTTTGATGGTTGCCAGATGGAAGGGGAGTAGGGGGTTGAGTGATAAAGGGAAGGGATTAAAAAGAAGCTGCAAAATAGTCAAAGGGATGTAAAGTACAGCATAAAGAATATAGTTAATAATATTGTAATAACTATGTATGATGCCAGGTGGGTACTAGACTTATCTGAGGATCACTTCATAAATTATGTAAATGTCTAACTACTATGCTATACACCTGAGACTAATATAAAATAATATTAAATATCAAATGTTATTGAAAGATAAAACAATAAGTAAGAAAAATCAAAATCAAAACAAATGAAAACAAAACCAGACTCACGGGTGAAAATGGGATAGGTAAATATAGTCAATAATGTGATAACTTTGCATGGTGACAGACGATTACTAGACTTAGTGTGGTGATCGCACTGTAAGATATACGAATGTCGAGTCACCATGTTGTACACCTGAAACTAATATAATATTGTATGCCAACTATATTTTAATTTTAAAAAAGCAGAGCAAAAACCTAAAAAAATTTTTAAAATAAAAATCATGATTTCGTAGGCCCCCTTGCAGTTGAGTGGCCACAGACATAGCTCTTGTGTATAGTACATATAGCTCTGGTGAGTAAGATGTGAGCAGAAGTCTACTGGTGGCAGTTCCAGGAACACTTTTATTTTCCTAACAAAGAAGGACCAATTCTAGGGCCCTGAACTGTTAACCCTTCATAGTTTCTCTTTCTTGTTTGGAACTTGGTTGCCATGCCTGGAGGAGCAGCGGCCATCCTGAGATCCTGAGGAACAGAGCCAAATACTAAGGATAATAGAGCAGGAAGATGAAAGCAACTTGGCCCCTTGACAAACCACAGAAGAGCCCAGGACTGCCTGCTTTCTAGTTTCTTGTGATGTAAGAAAAAAAAAAAAAACCCTATATGATCAGGCAACTCTTATTTGGGTTTTCTGCTAAAAGCAATACCTAACTGCTAAAGCGAAGGAGTATTAAAATCAGAACTTAATTTTAGCAAGTCCACTGTGAGAAACATGGGGAAGATTCACTGGAAGAAGGCAGAACCATATTTGAGAGCTCTCACCATAGTTTTGGGAGGCCATTAGTAATCTGCTCATGGGCGTGGGCTCAGGAGACAGATGGCCTTGTTAGGAGCCCACGCTCTCCCACTTAATGGCTTAGTAGCTGGGTGACCTTGGGCAAGTTTCTTGATTTCTCCATTCTTCAGTGTTTTCATCTTTAATCCTACTGCCTCCAAGGACAGTTTATCCTAACAAATGCCAGCAATTCTATTAATTGCAAACTTAAAGCAAATGAGGTCCTAGACCAAGGCAATCCTTGTGAAAACAGTGTCACTCACTACCCTGCCCTCAAAGTCATGCATTTTTCTACTTCCTTTGAAGCATATAAAAAACATTTTGCCTATACTTTCTAAATGAACATTCACTATACTCACTTAAAGACAACTGCTTATGGAAGAAACTGAGGTAAATATTACCCATAAAATGAAAATTTGTGCATCTTAAATTTTTTCCCAGTAATTGTGAATGGAGACTTATATATGCTGTCAAACTTCAATTTTCAAGGTCATTCTGAGGGACCGTAATGAAGAAAAAGACCCAATGTCTTCTTGTCTCTCTCGTTTCCCTAGCTTCACCTCATAGCTATGCACTTATATTCTCCCTCTCTGCCCCTGACAAAGTGATACTTGTTTAGACGGTATCTCAGGAAAGCTCTCCATGGTATCAGCACTACCCGCCCCTTGGCTTCACTGGGGACTCAGATGTCACCTTATCGAAGAGGGTTTTCTGACCACTCTATCTCAAATAGCGCTCTCCATCCCACAACAGTCATATCCCTCTTCAACCCTCCGCCCCTCGTTATTTTTCCTCCTAGCCCTTATCATCACTAGACATATTATATATTGTTTACTTATGGTCTTTCCCCCCTACAAGACTACCACCTCTGATGGAGCTTAGATTGTGGTTTGTTTGCTGCTATATCAATAATGTGCCAACAAGAATGTCTGGCTCATAATAGGCACTTGTTAAATATCTGTTGAGTTAACTTATTAATAAATGGTCTTAACTTTATGTCTTCTAAGACTCAGGGTTGCAAAGTCCCCTCTCTCAACCTAGGCACTGCTCCTGCCCAGACTTGGCACCTCAAGTTGAAGAATTTAAATATAAGATTATCTCAATATAAGCTGAAAATAAAATATACTTCTTCTTTATTTCTAAAAGAGCACTTTAAAAACTAGAAATATAATTATACCAGATAGTTTCCACTGGTCCTTGAGTAGGCGTAAGGAGATGGGATCTAGTGTGTGATGAATAGTATTAACCTCAGGAGTAGGGTCTGTACATTCACTGTAACCTATAACAGGAGTCGAGGAAGAATGTGTAGACACCGAGGTGGGTTGATAAATTTGATGGTAAGAAAATAACTCTGCATTACTGACTCCCCATTATCACATTCCAAGGTCAGTGTGAGGGTAAAATAAAATAATTCACACAAAGTACCTAACACTACACCACACCTGGTACACACTTAAAACATTCTGGATTAGGTCTTCCTTAGACTAGCATTCAAGGCCCTCCTTGCAATGTATCTTGTAGTCTTATATTCTACTACATTGATGTGTATACTCTATACTTCAGCCTGTGAAACTATACATGTGGCCCCAAACATGCTAAAGCTGCCCCAGCTGTGCCCTCTATATGAAACCCCTTTCTTCCTCTTCTCTGCATGATGAAACTGTGCCCATCTTTCAAAACCCAATGCATATGCCATTTCTAGCATGAAGTTTTCTATGATTCCCCCAATTAGATCAAATCTATTTTTTTATTCCCATAGTAGTCACTCTGAAATGGTGTGTCTAACACACTGCTGAGCAGTTTTAAGGATTGTCACAGTAACATTTCCTACCGATAAAATATTATTTTAATCCATTAGAATAGAGACAAATTCATTCCTATGACTAAGCCCTTCTTACTCTTATTTGTATAGGCTTTCTTGAGTAGAAGTGGAGTCAGCATACTGGGACTCAGATATAAACTGTAGTCTCTTATCTATGCAGAAAGAGTCATGGATTTTAAAGCACTCGGTTTCCCAGCCGAAGTTGTAAAGTTTGATCATAATTGTTGAGAGGATCATGAACATGAACATCTATCTTGTGTATGTTCACTGAAAAACTATTTGGAGCCACTATTCTGTAGCATGATGTATCTATGAAACCTATCAGAGCACCCATCTTAGTCAGTCACCAACTTATCTTAGCCACCACTCATGTAAATGTCATCTCATTTACACTGACTCTCTGTTACCCATCTTTGTATCTCTTAATAGCCAGTGCAATGTTTACTCATGGTCAGGTCTCAACAAATATTTGCTAAACAAATAAATGAATAAATGGAACTTTTGTTGAAATCATGTTTAGAATTTTTAGCGTGAGTTATAAAAAAAAAAAAAAAAAAAGACTGAATGTCCACAGTGTCAAAGCAGAATGTATCCAAAACTTCCAATGAGAGTAGAAACAAGTAGACGAGGAGGATCCACAGAATACATGTACCAACACGGATGGTATTTACCCAGCTCATCTTGACAGAAGCTGCCCGGAGGATTGATATACTTCATGGTGCTTACATCTAGCTTCCAGTTGTGCTTTGTGCATTTAACAGACCTGGATAGAAAGTTATGCTTAGGGTTAAGACACGGAGAAAATAAAAATTAACCTTATTAGGCTTAAATACATTATTGTATGATGAAATTAAATTAGATGGCTGAACACAACATACATGAAAGGAAAACTATTAAGAGGTAAAACTCAAATATCCAAGGAAATAGAGATAATTACCAGTAGGTGATTTTAAAAATGAAAAAAAAAAAAACCCATAAAACTCCATGTCACTAAATGACACGTGTTAGAGATCTACAGAACCAACAGAATAAAATGATCTTCACAGATGGCTCTTGTAGCTAAGCTAGATAAGATCCAACTGGGGCCAAAACAAGAAAAGAATGTTGTAGCACGCATGTGTCTATAATATGCAATCACTCCACAACCCTCGAGCCCTTTCTTTCTATAATGTACTAAACCTACGTTCAACTAAAGTTTCCATTTTCAAAGAGAAAAGATTTCCTTACAGTTTAAGATTTCAGAGCATGGTTGTCAGATAAAATACAAGATGCCCTGTTAAATGTGAATTTCAGATAAATAACGAATCATTTAAAAATATATCTCACACAATATTTGAGATACCCTGAAAATTTGTTGTTTTTCTTTGTACACAGCACTATGTTGCCCACAAAAGACCCGAGAAGACTGAAAACACACTGGAAGGAAAAAGCTGAGGTGGGAATGATTGAAACAAGGCAGGTGACTAGGTTGTACAGAAGCTTGAAATGCTAGGTCAACCATGCAGGCATGGCTGGTGCCAAGAATCAGGTTGGCAAGTGCCCCCACACCCAGACCTCCTCCCTGGTTCTGCCAGGCCTGGTTCCTCCTATCTTTTGTGCCATCACTGAAAACAAAACAAAGCCTGTCCTGGAATTGCTCCTGCACTGGGGAGGGGATCCATATGCAAGTTTCATCCAAGAAGTTCTTCCAGTACGAGTTCTTCCAAGAAATGACCAGAAGGGCCACTGTTCGGGGCAGGTATGGCTGGGGTGCTGCCATTTTTATTTTTTTAATTACAAGTAGGCTGCCAGTGAAATTCTGTCTGCTCTCCAGCAGAATTTGAAAAAGTCCTCCTCTACTTCTTGGGGGAGAGGGAAAAATACCTGAAGCAGTGTTGAGTCTTTGAAAACGAAACTGGTAAATAAACACTGAAACATGCCCTCCCAAAGGACACACATACCCTAGAAGTTTTACTGTTTATCAAGCCAGGAATAATTTTTAAATTACAGTTCTTAATGAGAGAGAGGAAAATCAAGTCAATGTCTCAAAATTTTGACATCAGAGAGATGCCCTAAATGAACACACATAAAAGTTAAGAATTTACTAGGGGAAATAATCTGTTGATTTATTTTTAATTTCTACATGAGCACAAGTCCTGCCAAATTTAATTGTAGGGAGGGTCACCAGGGAGGAAGCAAAGGACTCTCGGTACCTTCCATCCAAATCCTCGATATCTTTTATGAACAGGCCTCCTTGATGCTTGCACAGATTCTTGCATGCCCTCAGGTGGCTCTTGTTCTTATAGAAGATGTAATCCTTGCCTGTGCTCTTATTTCGAAAAAAGTTGATTCCTTCTTTGAGGTTGGCAACTTCAACAGGAGATAGATACAACAGAATCTCAGCTGTTTGTTCAATGCTATAAGAAGGCAAACATTAATAATGTTCAGATTTTAAGAGAGAATCATTTGGAACTCACAGCTCCAAACCTCTTTTAATTAAAGTATTTTTCAGCTGCTCCCTCTAAGTGGCCAGGTTTGGTGGCTCCGATGGTGCCCTCTCTCCCCTCTTTTAAATGTAGATTCTACTTGAATGTTCACCTCCCCTTTCCCAGAGAACTAAAGCCCTCTCACCTGCTCATAGTCAGCGGCCACCTCTCTGCCTCTCCCTAGGTATTTTGAAAGAATGGCAGTTGCTCTTTGTTTCTGTTGCTCATTTGCTTCCACGGGTGTTAGTAGAGAGAACGGAAGTGAACGCCTATTTACAGCAATTTCTTCTGATATGTTTCCTGCCTCTTTCAGAAGACTAACCCCATATTCAGCTCCAGGAACCCAGTCTGCTCTCTCCACCTCTAAGCCTCCTTCCACCTGAAATAGAGCTCTTTCCTTTTCACTGCTCAGTGCTACCCTTTAGATTAAAAAATACCTGTTATTCCCTCCTTGATTAAGCCTTTAATATCCCCCAGGTCGAGTTCAGCACATTTTCAAGGGTGTTACAGTTCTGTAGAACATCATAAGCTAGGACTCAGCACCTCGCCCTCTTTACTTAGACATAGAAGCTTTTGAAACACTCTATGTCTTCTCTACGTTTCTCTCTCCACCACTTAGCAGATTGCCTGTCTTACAGTATGTCTTCACTAGCGGTTACTTAACAAATGAACCCTTCCACTGCACTCAATTTTAATAATTTATAAAAAGCTCCAGCAGCAAATGCAGTATTTAATCTTTCATAATTTTTCAAGGAAGCTACAGATGTTACTCTTCTCAAGCCCTCGTTTCCACACAAACCCTCTTTATTATGAATCATAAGTGAATATACTTTTTGCCAAGAGACATTTCAAAGTATCTTTCTGCATATCCACAGTATGAAACCCTGGTGCGTGCTGTTGAATTTTACATTTTGCTCCAGGCTGAAAGTCAAAGTTCTCCTCATGAGTTTGGAGCGCAAGTAGATTTATGGCATTTTCACTTTCATTTTTAGAAGTACTGCAGATTTCTTAAAAAGGAAATAAAAATAATTTTAAAAACATACCAGAATACAGAATAATAGCGAAGCTAGTTCCATTTTAAACTGATGAGGCACAGCTCTATAACTGAGTATGCTCTACTTTCTCAAAGCAGATTCTCATCGTCAGTTCTAGCCCAAATTCTTTGTAATTCTGTTCACAATAAATTTGAAATGTTTCCAAAAACATATTTCAAATGCATTTGACAGGAAGGAAACCACTGTAAGCCTCATGAGTTTTATAAACTTTGTTTTTATGAGTACAAACATCTGACACCAAGCCAAAGTGAACACTGAAGCACTTCTAAGAATAAGTAATTTGAAAGGGTAAAAAGAAAACCTCTCTGAACATTTGGTTTAATTTGATTAAATGAATTACTTCACCAAAATTCTGTCAGATTACCAGCCTTCAATGCACTGTGTAAAGCAAGCTGGACTAACTACATCTTTGTTTACCAATTTCATGAGAATCTAAGGCATATTAGAACCTATAGCAAAGGAAAAAAATGTGTGCTTCTGTTTACACGCTTTTTTGGGGTATTTTTAAAGGTTAGTTTTTCCTAAAAGTAGATTTCAAAGATATTATGATGAATTTGATTACATTAAAATCAAGAAAGTAAAATTATAGTAAATTCTGGTTTGGGTATAAATAAAATATTTAAACTAAAATAATGTGAGTTTTTAGAATCTAATTTTCAATGTTTCAATACTTTAATGTTCTTGAAAAAATAGCCATTAAAAAATACACAAAAATATTTACTATATAGGAGCGCAGACATTTTTCCTTTTGCTTCAAACTTGGTGTCATGGCATGGCAGTGTCTTTAAAATTTTGATATTTTGTCATGAAGTTTTGGCCTTAATTTTCATTTTTAAAAATATTGTGTTAAAATAACATTCATCTTGATTATATTTATTTCATAAATCTAGGAATCATCTAGAGCAGGGGTCCTCAAACCTTGGGCCGTGGACCAGTACCGGTCCATGGCCTGTGAGGAACTGGGCAGCACAGAAGGAGATGAGTGACAGACAAGCAAGCTAAGCTTCATCTGTGTTTGCAGCTGCACCCCAGCACTAGCATCACTGCCTCAGCTCCACATTAGATCATTAGGCATTAGATTCTCATAGGAACACCAGTCCCTGGTGTCAAAAAGATTGGGGACCGCTGCTCTTGAGGGTTAAGCCCCAAGAAAAAGGGGTAGGGGAAGAAGAAGCAATTTATTCAGAATTGTCAGTCTATAAGTGCATTTTGCTACCCATCATTTCTTAATTAGATTTCTTTAGTTTTGTTTTAAATGGGAAGATGTTTGGTATTGTGTTCACAGGAAGGTACATTCCATGAAGACTGAGACACACAGTGTTTGTCATGTGGTAGGTGCTCAGTAAATAGCTGGCAAGTGAAGGAATTCCTTCACAAGAATGAAATATGTCCTCAATGTTTCAAATTGGGGAAGTTCACCCATGGCTCCCTGTGACATTCATTGCTGAGTTTGAGAATTACCATTTAGACAAATGATGTGGACATGCTTCCAAAAGTCAAAGATCCATGAAGAGGACAGGCAAATTGGCGTATGTAAGTTTTAAAAAGCAATTTAGGAGAGTTTTTTTAATACCATGCAAAAGTAGAGGCTATTCCTCCATTTATTCAAATCATCTTGTTTGCTCTTCATTATGGCTTGAAAATATATTTTTTCATAGTGGTCCTATGTATATGCTCATTAATTTTCTTAGTCATTATATAGCTTTTGCTGTGGTTGTGATTAATGTCATCGTTAATTTTATTTTCTAATCAATTATTTCTGGTATACAGAAACGCAGCCAATTTAAAAAATTGTGGTAAAAACATATAACAAAAAATTTACCATATTAACCATTTTTAAGTGTACATTTCAGTAGTTTTAAGTATATTTCACATTGCCGTGCAACACATCTCCAAAATTTTTCATCTTGCAGAACCAAAATTCTATACCTATTAATTAAACAATATTTTCCTCTCCCTCACCCTCTGGTAACTACTGTTCTACTTTCTGTTTCTATGAATTTGACTACTTTAGATACTATATATAAGTATAACCATACAGTATTTGTCTTTTTATAATCAGCTTATTTCAGTTAGCATAATGTCCTCAAGTTTAATCCATATGGTAACACATGACAGGAGTTCCTTCCTTTTTAAGGTTCAGTAATATTCCATTCTATGTACAGACCATATTTTACTTATCTGTTCATCGGTCAATAAACATTTGTGTTGCTTTCACCTCTTGGCTATTGTGAATAGTGCTGCTATGAACATGGTGTGCAAATATTTGTTCAAGTCCCTACTTTCAATTCTTTTGTGTTTGTAACCAGAATAGGGATTGCTGGATCATATGGTAATTCTATTTTTAAAATTTATTTATTTAAAATATTTTCCCCAGCTTTATTGAGGTATAATTGACAAATAGAACTGTATACATTTAATGTGTATAACATAATAATTTGATATATGTATACATTTTAAATTATTACTACAATCAAGTTAATTAACACATCTGTCACCTCACGTAATTACCTGTTTTCTTTTCCCTCTTTTCTGTGATGAGAAACTTAAGATCTATTCTCTTAGCAACTTTCAAGTGTACAGTACAGTATTATTAACTGCAATCACCCTGCTGTATATCAGATCCCCAGAACTTATTCATCTTATAACTTGTACCATTTGGAGAGCTTTTTTTTTTATTAAAGAAAAATGTAAAGTAAATATTAAACAAAGAAAATACGCAGATGGCAAATAAACATACAAAAAGATACTCAACATCATTTGCCATTAGGGAAATGAAAATTAAAACAAAATGAGATACCACTACATACCTATTAGAATGGCTAACAATTTTTTTAAAAAAACTGACAATATTAAATGATGGCAAGGATATGAAGCAACAGAAACTAACACATTGCTTGTGAGAAGAAAAATGATACAGCAATTTTGGGACCTAGTTTTGCAGCTTCTTACAAAGCTTAATATAGTCTTACCATATGATCCAGCAATCACTCTGTAAGATATTCACCCAACTGATTTGAAAACTTCTGTTCACACAAAAACCTGCACAGAAATGTTTATAACAGCTATATTAATAATTGCCAAAACTTGGAAGGAACCAAGATGTTCTTTAATAAGTGAACAGGTAAACTGTGGTGCATCCAAACAATGGAATATTTGGTGAAAAAAAAGAAATGGGCTAAGGGTTTCAGACTTCTAGTTTATGGTCCAACATATAAGGAGCTTGAAAATAGTTACTCTGCCCTACTAACAAGTAAAAAATGGAATAAACTAAAAACCAACAACTCTTCTTATATTTATCAAAGAATCGAGGTCATAGAGCAAATAGCTGTCCCCAAAATTAGAGAGACAATAGGGAGGTACAGAGAATCACACCTTACTGAGGGAGAAGTCTACAAGTGAAAATCTCTATGTGGACCAATACCGTATTTCTTTTACCCAGTACATCATATTCAATGTGCAACAAAATATTACAAGACATGCTAATAGGCAGAAACACAGTTCGAAGAGACATAGCAAATATCAGAATCAGATTCAGATGTGGCAGGGATGTTGGAATTATCAGATTAAAATTGAAAAAAACTACTATTAAAATGTTAAGGGCTCTAAGAAAAAGTAGACAATATTCAAGAACAGATGAGAAATATAAGCAGAAGGATGGAAATTCAAAGAAGGAATAAAAACAGAGATGAAGAATGCCTTCAATAGGATTGTTGGTAGATCTGTCATGGCTAAGGAGAGTCTCTGAATTTGAGGCGATGGCAATAGAAACTTCCCAAACTGAAAAGCAAAGATTAAAAAAAAAAAAAACTGAGAAAAATGAAACAGAATATCCAAGAACTGTGGTACAACTACAAAAGGTGTAACATACGCATAATGGAAATACCAGACAGAGAATAAAGAAAGGAACAGAAGAAATTCTGGAAGCAATAATGACTAAGAATTTTTCCCAAATTAATGTTGGATACCGACCTACAGATCCAGGAAGTTCGAAGAATACCAAGAAGGATGAACGCCCTCCCCAAACCACACCTAGGCATGTCACATTTAAACTGTAGAAAATCCAAAATAAAGAAAAAATCTTGAAAGATAATAGAAGGAAAAATCATCTTACTTATAGAGGAGCAAAGATAAGAATTACATACTGCTTCTCAGAAA